AATGATAATATTGGCAGCTGTGCTTAATAGATAATGATGATATATGCTCCATTAGCATGGCCTAGACTGCTCTAGCACACCAGATGATGCGACATCGACTCCTACCACCTACTCTAAGGAGATGCTTCTGCACCGGAGATGGATCTGTGAGGTCACAACAACCAAGACCGTTAGAGCCGCCCTAGGGACTGTGCCATGGGAGAGGGCTCCGACTATCAAGTTAGATCATATGGTATATCTGAGATGGCTCTCTTTAGCTAGAGAGGATCATCTTGGTGATGGTGGTGGTGTATGGTAATTGACGGCGGCGGGTTGCAGCTGAGCCACCTGGCCGAAGTATAGGGCGGCGGCTAAGCCAAGGGGAAGATCCTAGTGGTGGCAGAACCACCTGGGAAAGAGTCCTCCTTCATGGAGGAGGCACTATTCTATTTATAGGGCACAAATAGGTCAAGGGGAATTAGGTCAAGCCTTGGGCTAGCCCAATTCAGGCCCAGGTAGCAAGGCGCTGGGTAAGGCCGCCCGGAGGCGCCGGCCGGGGCTGGCGGGTGCGCCCCAGGCATGGCTGACGGGTGCGCACCAGGAAAGGATGAAAAGAGGGTGCCAGGAAAGGGAGCGTCGGGTCGGGCCTGCAGGAGAGTCCCCAGGAAGGCTAGCAAGGGAGTCCCCAGCAAGGTTGTCAAGGGAACGCCAGGCGGAGCTGGCAGGAGCGTGCCAGGCCAGGATGGCGCGCTAGAGCAGTCTAGGTCATGCTAATGGACCATATATCATTAGATAACATTGAAAACTGTGTCATTAGGAAAACGATGGAGTTTATGCCTATTCCTTTTGAAAATCCTTAGGAATGAATGAGTGAATGATAAATCATTCTTAGGATAGATCCGTAAGAAATAACGAAGATAATGGGGATGGATAAGTGGGTTGATTGTTTAATGACTAAACATAATTATATTATTGTGGGTTGAAACCCTATGTACTCACTAGGTTTCTGAACCTGACCCACTCAAGTTTTTTTGCGTGACAGGTGTCGATACGAAGCTACTTTACACTGAGAGATTAAGGAGATGTAGATCACTAGTTTAAATGAATGTATGGTCTGTTTATGCTTATGTTTTTATATTGACGATTGCATCCCAAAGTTTTAAAAGAAATAAAATACATTTCTTCAGAAATGCTTTGATAACACATTTACCATGTTTTTCTGGGAACAAATTTCGCAACATTTTTCTAGCATCGGGCCTCGCCCGGTATACATATAACATATAAAGATATGCATAAAAATCACATAAACACATGCATAAAAATCACAATGATAAATAGCATACAATATAATCATTACAATCCACTCGGTAATCATATAAACACATAACACATGCAAGAGTCACACATACAACTAGTAAGGAAACTCACCTAAAGCTGCAAAATCACTCGGATAAAATCTCAATCTGCTGGTCCAAATGATCCTCGTGCTAACCTTATAATATAAATATCCAATTAATAATTGGATCTCGACCCATAATAACCAATCTAAGCTCCGTGTCCAATATCCAAGGTAAAAGACTGTTTTACCCTTTTTCTTACGTGGCCCAAAACCAAGGCCCAATCTATTGCTGAAAAGGCCTAAATTCCCAAATGGCATCCCTAGGCCCAATAAGGCCCAACTTCCAAATTGGGCTGAAAATCATCATGGACCTAATCCCATGAAATGCCCTAGTCTATCCATGACCCAAAGTCAAAAGTCAAATGACCTAACAAGTCCCAAACCTTAAAAGCCCAAAATATGGCCCAAACCCAAGGAAGTCAAACCAAAAGTCAACCTACTGAGTACGCGGGGCATACTTAGCTCGTACGCTTAGCATACTCCTTCTGGGGAAAGTACGTGCATCGTACCAACTTGGTACGTCCAACATACTCCCCAGGTTACCAACCCAACCCATTAATCACTTAATTGGTTAAGACAACATGCTAAACTCTCAGATCTAGTTCTAAATGGTGACTTACTATGTAAAGTTGAAAACTTTACACCCATGCATGAATTAATGGAGCCCAACACTAAAAAAGAAGCTTAATAAGACTCTTAACACTTTCATGGACAAATATCTTACATAAAGTTTGCATTTTTATGGGCGAAGGACCTCAAATGAGCAAAGATCTAACATCCATAGCTTTTGGAGTAGACCATAACTTCATATATGACTTAAAAGACCCAAAAATGCATAAATATCACCATAAAATGGATCTAGCACAAAGGACCATCCAGATGAGAGCTTTTTACCTCAAAAGGCTTGCTAAGGTGAAGATAACTCTAGATATACAAGCTTAAGCTACTCCCAAGAAACCTCGAAGTGTTCCTCTTTTTCTTCTTCTTCACCACCAAACACCAGCAAACTCACTTTGAAGCTCAAATATGACCAAATACACTTAGGGATTCGATATTATGACATAGGGTGATGGAGGTTGATTAATAAAATGTCCAAAGGTGGTTTAAGATGTTTAAGTAGAGTGCAAACCCTAAAAATTAGGGTTTACTCCTGCTCTACGTATGCCATGCATACTCTACGTACGCCCCAAATACGTGGGTGAATCTTGGGTCCAAAAAAGAGATAGTATGATAAGCGTACTCATAGAGTACGCCATGTGTACTAGCTATGGACCAAAATGATAAGGATTTTGCAATAAGGGGTTAGAAGGAAGCTTACCAAATTATGAATGTTACAATTCTCCCCGAGTTTAATCAGAATTTGTCCTCGAAGTACGCTGCTCCAAACAACTTTGGGTAGTGATCCCTCATCTCATCCTCCGGCTCCCATGTCCATTCTGAACACTTGCGATGCTGCCACTGAACTTTCACCAATTCAACAACCTTGTCCCTTAAGGTATCATCTTCCTGTCAAGAATCATCATGGGTCTCTCGATATAATTCATGCGATCATCCACTTAAATATCATCTAATAGAACCACCGCAGAATCATCAGTTAAACATTTGCGCAACTGAGAGACATGAAATTTGCTATGGATCTGACTAAGATCCTTGGAAGATACAAGCGATAAGCAACCCGAACCACCCGTGTGATAAGTCCATTTTATGAATGTACTAAATTGTCATACATCTGTTGTATTGATGTATAATTATCCAAGAATGGCACTACTTTCATGAGTTGTTAAAATTCATATACAAGTCAGTATATTGTACTAAAATTGGGTGGAACCTGCAAGTAAAACGGATTGCTAAAGGAATTTAGAAAAATTGGTGGGAAAATTGACCATTCTTCAATGTTTTGGTCATATCTCAAGTTCTGGAGCTCCGATTGACATGAGTAAAGAAGTTATTGAAACTAGACAAAATTTTGTACAAGTTTCTTGTTTTGTGTTTCTGCTAGTTATGTCATTTTGACCACCAAAACTTCCACGGAAGATGAAGGACGCCTCCAGGCGTCTAAGACGTCCCCTAGTATGTCCACGTCAAACGGTCAACATATGGCTGTTATTTCAAAGCAGAAAAAAAGGAAGAACCCTCTTCAGTATGTTACATGGCGTCTAAGACATCCCCTAGGATGTCTTGGCATTTTAGGGACGTCCCATGCTGGAACGGTGTGTTTCGGAAGGTTTAGAAAACAAGCGCGTCTAAGACGTCTCCTAAGACGTTTGGCGTTTTTGGGCATTTTTTAGTGTATTTCAAGGATGATAGATGGCATGCAAGGACGTACAAAGAATGCTTGGGCGTTATACACGACGTATAAGATGTCTCCTAGGACGTCCAACATCCCACATCGCCCAATTTCATTATTTTTTATCCCACGCTATAAATAGGAGCCTATGAATTCGTTTTTCTCAGAGTTTTTCATGTGTTTTTAAGGCTTCTAAAACCCTTGGAAACATTTGAAAACACAAATCCATTCCATTAAAATCCGGATTCAAAGCAAGATTCGATTCAATTCATCATCAAGGTATAAGTGAAGATCATTTCATTGGGTAATCTTCATCAATTCTTTATTTTCCAGAATTATTTGTTCTTCCCTAAGGTTTATTCGTTCTATACTTTGATAATCATTAGGCTACATTTGTTTGATGATTCTATGTTTGTTTATGAATTCTATTATGTATTTTATTCAATTGAATCAAGTTATTTGTTTTATGAACTTAATGGAAGGATAAATCATTAGGGTTACTTCTGGGATGTTTATGACTTTTTGATGAACATACTTGATTATTACTTGATTCTAGTTAATTTCAGTTGTTGTTTATGCTTCATGTGATGATCTTTTGGTAATGATAATTGAAATTGGGTTGTATGAATTGTTAGATGTCATAATTAAGATAGTGTATTGTTAATTCATCATTTGTTCCAAGTTCACTTAGTTTAGGAATAAATACAAATGACTGAATCAACATATATTATTCCAACTTATGATATTAAATCTTAATGCGGTAATAGGTAGTTGTAAGACATTTTATAGCTAGTCCACTAATTGTTCTTAATCCATTTAGGCATAAAGGAGTAAGACAACTAGTTGAATGAACATTTAGTATGCCCAAACTATGTATTACAAGTTAATAAACCCCAATTGCATGTAAGTAACTGAATTAGGATTTAAGGGAAGAAAGTGTGTGAATTTAAACTGTCCATAACTGAACTGGGTGTACTTTAGTTTTCTCATTGAGATTTTCTTTTTAATTAATAAATTTCGAAGCTTTTTGTTTGATCTTTGCTTTAATTTTTTTTTCGTGACAATTGCTAGTAGTTTTTTTTCATTGACTATTTTAACACAAGGTTTGACCACAAACTCCTTGTGGATTCGACCGTTACTTACCCTAGCTATCTAGTGGTTTTGAGGTTATTTTTGATTGATACAACGACATTGATCAAGATTTGGCGTCGTTTTCGGGGAGAGATTTTGCGCTTGAGCTATTGTGTTTAATTAGTTATAGTCTTTTACTTTCATTTTCAATTCTCATTTGTAGTTCACGTTTTCTTTATTATTGTTGTGCAGGCACACCGGTGCATGCATACAAGACATAGCGGACGCTCTTCACCGCTTGCATTTGATCCGGAAATCGAACGAACAGCTCGCTCAAATCGGGTCGCCAGAAGGAACATCAACACTATGAGTGTAGATAACGTTGTTGTGGAAGATGTGGTTGAAGGGCATTATGAAGAAGCCAACAATCTTCCGCCACTAGTTCCACCACCAGCTCCTCAATTCCCAAACAACAACAATGGGAATAATGGGAATAACAACAATGCCAGTGCACCAATCATCCAACCAGTGCAACCACAACCGAATAGAAACAACCGTGGCCAAAATGGTGGAAATGGAGGAAATTGGGCACAAAATATTGGAGGCAATGTAGGAAACCATACTGGTGGTAATGTTAGAAATCATAACCAAAATCCTAGAAATGTTGGTCCTCAATTCGGTAATGGTGGTAATGGTGGTAACGAGGATGACTGGGATTTTGATGATGGAAGTGACAACGGACTTGGTTAGAATTTGAACCATAACGGTGGTAATAGGCGGAATCAAGGTAATCGGGGTGGAAACGTGAACTACAACAATAACTGGAACAACCAGAATTTCCCTAATGGTGGCAACAATGACTACAATGATGGGTTCGGAAATCTACGCTTTGGGAATCAATATCGAAGGAATCCAAATGATGGATTCAACAATGTAAATGGAGGATACTACAACGAAGGTAATCAATTCCCTCATCTTTACTTTCTGCAGCCTAATAGACAATCTGTGGCATCTCATTTTCAACCGGGAGAGTATGATGAAGTTTCACCTATACTCTTCGCGGAAGGAAATGAGCATCATCTGGAAGTAAGACCACAACTAATTAGTGTCTTACCCATCTTTAGAGGCCATAAAACTGATGATCCATACAATCACCTCTATGAGTTCCTTGCAATTGGTATGTGAATACTCCACGAGGAACTAATAGAGATTCATTTAGACTTCACTTATTTCCATTCACTTTAAAAGAAAAAGATAAGTATTGGTTCACTTCTCTTGCCCTCATAGTATTACCACTTGGGAGCAATTAAAAACTAAATTTTTGCAAGAGTTTTACCCTGCTAGTAAAACAACGGAAATAAGTAAAGCTATACAAGATTTTGCATAAAAACCCAATGAAGAATTTCATGATGCATTTGAACGCCTCAAGGAATTGTTACGTTCATGTCCCCATCATGAATTTCCCCGTTGGCAACTGGTACGTTTCTTTTATGCTGGAGTCGATACTGCCAATCAAACCATGATTAATGCCTCGTCTGGCGGCACTATTATGATGCAAGATAGTGAAGACGCTTGGCGATTCTTGGAGCAGTTGAGTCATGGTTCAAAAACCAATTACTCAGCTAAGAAACGGGACAATCCAGTTCCATCTACTGCTTCAGTTGGACTAGACAAAAACTGGAAAAATGAAGTCAAATCTTATATTAATTCTTTAAATAAAAAATTTGACTTACTACTCTCTAGTCTAGGCAAAGAGAAATGTGTGTTTTTTTCGCAGGGACAGAAGATATGTGTAAGCTGTGGAGATTCAGGACACATTGCATATGAGTGCATGAGAACTCAAGAGGAAATCAATCAAGTGCATGGATATGGTCAATTCCAAAATAATCCACGATCATTCAATCGGAACTATAACCAAGGCGGGAACTACAACAACAATGGGAATTTCAACAACAACAACCATCAAGGGAATTACCCAAACCAAAATCAGCCAAAATAGTTCCAACAATCTAACTTTAACCAAGGTGAAACATCAAAGAAGGAGGAAACTGATGGCAAGAAGTTGGACAAAATCATGGAGTTCATAACCCAAACATATCAGAAAACTGACACTAACTCAAAGTCCATAGCTGCTATTGAGAAGCAAATTGCTCAACTGGCGGAGCATATTGGGCAAAAAGAAGATGGCAAGTTTCTAAGCACCACAACAGTCAACCCACCTCACACCCAAAGACCCGGAAAAGAGCATCAAGTCAGCGAGGTAGTTACCTTACGTAGTGGAAAAAAGGTTGACAACAAGGTAAGTGCTTCTACATTAGATAATGACAGTGACACTGAAGTCATCTTTGATGAAAAGGAAGAGTTTGAGAAAGATTTTAAATCTGAAAAACAAAAAGAAGCTAAGGGTAAAAATGACTCTAAAGTTAGGGAGCATGATGTGGAGGTTAATACCGTACCATACCCTTCGGCTTTAGAGAAACCGGCATCCTTCCCTTTTGGGAAGCGAGGGCCGACAATGGAAGATATGTGGGATCTATTTAGTCAAGTTAAAATAAATATCCCATTAGTCAAACTTATTAAGGAGGTACCTTCTTATGTTAAAATTTTGAAGGATTTGTGTGTTCAGAAATGAAAACTCCAAGCACACCTCCCTAAAAAGATTGATTTAACCGAGCATGCGAGTTCCATAATATCAAATAAACTTCCACCCAAGCTTAAGGATCCTGGAGCACCTTTAATTTCTGTTACCCTATGTAACATTAATATAAAAAATGCGCTCCTTGATCTTGGAGATAGTGTTAATATAATCCCAGGAAATCTTTTTGATCAACATGAATTAGGCACTTTGGAACAAACTTATATTATTTTACGATTGCCGATAAGTCAACAAAAATTCCTCGGGGTATATTATCAGATGTTATTATTAAGGTGGAAGATTTCTATTACCCAGTTGATTTTCTTCTGCTTGACACCGCGAGCACTTATAAAGAAAGTCAACCTTATATTATTTTAGGTTGTCCGTTTTTGGCAACAATAAATGCACAAATTAATTGTAGAACAGCTGAAATGGATATCTCTTTTGGAAATAGGAAACTTAGAATTAATATTTTTAATATGTTTCCTAACTCACCATTAGATTATGAATGTTATCATGTGGATGTGGTTGATAACTTAGTGCATCAATTCACTCCTAAAATCTTACACCCCAATCTGTTGGAGTTTTTCTTTCTAATGACAGGGACGAAGTTTTAGAGTTGGATGACATCAAGATGGTTGAGGAAGCATTTGAAAATGCTATTGAGCAAGAGAGGCCACCATGAAGTTATGATGTAGAAAAATTACCAACAAGTTTTTCGGACCCACTTGAGCCATCTTTGGAGGAGCCACACACTCTTGAACGCAAAACTCTTTCTTCACATCTTAAATACTCTTTTTTAGGATCTAAGGAGAGCTTACCAATTATCATATCTTCTGATTTGACAGGTCCACAGGAGAAAGCATTACTGAAGGTGCTTTCCAAGTACAAGGGAGCAATTGGATGGACCATAACAAACTTGAAGGGAATTAGTCCAGCCACATGTATGCCTCGAATCATCATTGAAGCTGGATAAAAGCCATCCCGAGATGCACAATGAAGGATCAACCTGAATCTGCGAGAAGTTGTTAAAAAGGAGGTGTTGAAATGGATTGATGCGGGTATTATCTATCCAATATCTGATAGTGATTGGGTGAGCCCGGCACAAACAATGCCAAAGAAGTCGGGCATTATAGTGGTAGATACAGAAGATGGAGAGAAGATCTCAACAAGACCGATCACCGCGTGGAGAGTTTGCATCGACTATCGTAAACTCAATGTTGCAACATCAATGGACCATTTCCCTCTCCCTTTTATTGATCAAATAATTGCGAAATTTTCCGGTAAAAAGTTTTATTGTTTTTTGGATGGATACTCGGGGTATAATCACATTGCCATCCACCCCGAGGATCAATCTAAAATGACATTCACGTGTCCATATGGCACCTTTGCTTTCCGAAGGATGCCATTCGGCTTGTGTAATGACCCTGCCATATATCAAAGATGTATGATGACTATTTTTTCAGACATGGTGGGGGATGCATTAAAAATTTTCATGGATGATTTTTCTATTTTTGGATCATCTTTTGAGACATGCTTAGACCAATTAGAAAACGTTTTGAAACGTTGTATTGAGTCTAATTTGGTTTTAAGTTGGGAGAAGAGTTATTTCATGGTAAAAAAGGGAATTATACTTGGCCATGTTGTCTCCGAGTGTGGTTTTGAAGTCGACCGGGCCAAAGTACATATTATTTCTACTCTTCTCCCACCAACTTCGATAAAAGGCGCCCATTCTTTTTTGCCGGATTTTATCGAAGACTTATCAAAGATTTTAGTGCAATCTCAAAACCTCTTTGTAATTTACTTTTAAAAGATGCATCATTTTCCTTTGATAAAGCATGTCTTGAATATTTTACCACATTACAGAACAAACTTGTTGAAGCTCCTATCTGGCAATCACCCAATTGGACTTTACCTTTTGAAATTAGGTGTGATGCGAGTGATAACGCGGTAGGGACAGTTTTGGGACAACGGGTGAATAAAAAACCCATTGCAATTTGTTATGCGAGCAAAACTTTTTCGGATGCACAATTGAATTACACTACTACCGAAAAAGAGTTGCTTGCGGTCATGTTTGCACTTGACAAATTTAGATCTTACATATGGGGATATAAGATGGATCATAGTGCCATTCACCACCTCTTGGAAAAGAAGGATGTCAAACCATGTCTCATAAGATGGATCCTTTTTCTTCAAGAGTTTGATCTTGAAATTCGGGACAAAAAGGGTTTCGAAAATGTTGTGGCGGATCATTTATCTAGAATAACTAATAATGATAACGCAACGGAAGTTATTCAAGAAAACTTTCCAAATGAGCATATTCATGCTGTGAAAAATATACCATGGTTTGCTAATTTAGTGAATTACTTTGTGACAGGGAACACTCCATCATATTGGAATGCTCAATAAAGGAAGTTCTTCCACTCTCAAACAAAATACTACATATGGGAGGACCCACATCTTTTCAAAATTGGAGCAGATCATGTGATTAGGAGATGTGTACCACATATGGAGCAAGAAGACATTCTTCGACACTACCATTCATATGCATGTGGAGGGCATTTTAGTGCCAAAAAGGCAGGGCATCGGATTCTACAAAGTGGTTTTTTCTGGCCCTCTATTTTTAAAGATGCACATATATTCGTTAAAACTTGTATTCCATGCCAACAAGTTGGGTGGATCTCAAGACGGGGCATGATGCCAATGACCCCAATTTTATTAGTTGAAAATTTTGATGTATAGGTCATTTATTTCATGTGTCCGTTCCCCACTTCTTTTGGAAATCTATACCTTGTTGTAGCCGTTGATTATGTATCAAAATGGGTCGAATCCGATGCTACTCACATGAATAGCAATAGTGTTGTTTGTAAATTTGTTAAAAAGAACATATTTTCAAGATACGGAATCCCTCGAACTATTATTAGTGACGGGGCTCCCATTTTAAAAATTGGCATTTTGCAAAGTTACTTAAACACTATGGTGTCACACATATGATAGCTACTCCATATCACCCACAAACAAATGGACAAGTAGAAGTGTCAAATAGGTAAATAAAAAGAATCTTGGAAAAGGCTGTTCATCCCGACTGAAAAGATTGGTCATTAAGATTAGATGA